TTTTAAATCCCATTATAAAATCTATGTTCTCAAAAATCAATAAAACCATACACTTGTTTTGTGTTGCCCAATAGTGTATTGTCCAGTGACTCCTTACGTCTGTTCTATTGCATCGCTTGTCTGCGGCGTGTTTTGACCACATCCCAAGATTGCACGACCATTCAGACTGAAGAAAACACCTGTGAAACTGAGTTTGTAGAGGCAGACCGTGAGTGGCGATTTGTCATGTGACTTAACACTGGCTGAGGTAGATTAAATTAAATCCATCCGTCTCGCTTCCCTCTCTCAGGAAACTAAATTGTCCTGCCACAGTGTCAGAGCTATTTATATGATCAGGAATGACAGATGAGTCCTGCTAACTCAGTGATTTGCTGTGAGTGTTTAGCTTCGCTGAGGCATACACTTCCATCGCAGGCCATGTCGTTTTGATGTGAGGACACTGACACATTTCTCAGAATATATCATATACTTAAATAACAGCAGTTAAAGGCACAGGCTGGTAAATAACAGAACATGCTTACCACCATGAGGGGATGTCGCTCAGTGGAAGACTGTATGCTTTGCACGTATGAGTTCCTGGGTTCAATCCCCAGCATCTCCAAGCAAACTGGAACTTTCCATTAGTTTGTTTGCTTGGTTTACCTTGGAACTATTTCAGTGTTGACCTATATCACCTATATTGTTATTATTTAAAAGGCACAAGTACATAGCCAAACACTTATCACCATAAGTGGATGTAGCTCAGTTCATGTAAAAGACAAACTCAGTTACGTTACCCACAATATTTCATGGGATAAGGTTTTCCCTGCAGAGCTCTTTTGGAATGATTTTTTCCGAAGATTAATAACACCATTCATTGAATGAGAAATTTAACCAAGGTCTTGACTCAGTGGTTATAAATCACATGGCATTTCTCATACAGATTAGGGGTGTAACCCCAGTGTCCCAGATATATTCTCTCCATTGGCCTTTGCCAATCATGGCCTCCTAATAATCCCCATATATTGAAAATTCAGTCCACCATTCTCACCACCCATAGCTGGTGCTGTAGTACTGTGGCTGCCATTGCGTCCAAGTGGATGCTGCACACTGGTGGTTGAGGAGAGATCCTCTGATATTATTGTGAAGTGCTTTGAGTGTAAAGTGGTATAAATGGCCCTTCATTTAATTTCCTCAGTGGTAATGATTTTCACCAGGAAGTCTTCTATTAAACAGATTGTAACATGGCCTTTCACTAGCAGTCTTTAAAGCTGCAGTCCGCAGTTTTTCCTCTTTGCCACCATCTCTGTTCAAAATCTGTAATTGGAGTTTTTCGCGGAATTATTAACTTTTACGTCACATGTCCCCACCACTTTTTGCCAGGGTCGAAATTGTCCCCACCACTTTCGAAACATCTTGCGGCACGAATGTACCAATACAAATAAAACATCTCCAGTTAGCTAGCAGCATTCGTTTCATTCGTTTGTTAAATAAGAGCCGATCTAGCGCTGAAATGTGTTTTCTTCACTCGGATGCGCGCTGCAATCCGTTGTGGAGGTTTCATTTGTGGGTTCTAATCCGCACTCGTACAGGTTTTTTACCCTCATCAAAACCGAGAATGTTTTTCAGTGGTTGTATATCAATATACATACGGTTTTGATGAGGGGAAAAAAAACTATATGAGTGCGGATTAGAACCCACAACCTCCGACACGCAAAAATTGCCACTGGACCATTACTGAACATGCACAGTGTAGGTGAATCTGTGTGTTTATTCACGTTAAAATTCACCATACTAATATTAGATCTCATATACGACCAATTAAACCCAAAGTACCATAACATTTTGGGTCGGACATCACATCTTTGTATACATTTTATGTATTTACATCAGTAAGCTACAGGAAATCGTCTTTGAAAACATGACCTTCGCGTACCATGTGACCATGTGGTGTAATGACGCAAAGACATGCTCGAGTTTCCTGTGGACATCCACCAGTGCCACTGGAATTAAAATCATTATTACAAGCTAACCGTTTTGAATCGAGCAAAGGCAAGCAGATATTTTTGAACACTGGCTGGTTATGTTTTTTTAAAATGTTATTATTTTGGATCATTTTTAACCCAAAAAAGTTACAGACTGTAGCTTTAAAGGAGCATTTCACCCATTTCAACATTAATCTTTATCAAAAGGGGATCATGTAGGCTATGTAGTCGAAATATAAAAGAATTTTTGAATTTGGTGCCCTCTTGACCGAGAAAAGACAGAAAATAACCGAGGGGCGTATATATAAGTAAGACAACAACTCCCACAATACACCACATTGCACAGCTAAGCAAGCCACACCCACTAATCCGGAACAGCGAAAAATCACTCTCAAGGGGCATAAATGGACGGCGCGAGGCCGGTGGCGGGAGTGATAATGAACGACACCAGAGAGATGCACCAGTCTCGCATCTCTTACGGAGGAGAAAAAGCATAAAATGAGGAGTGACAACGACAGATTGAAAGAGGATCAGGCCTGCTTTTATGTTCTATTTTGTTTCTGTTGTGTGTAGACAGCAGGCGTCAATGAGGGGCTGCTGGCTTATACTTCACTATAAAAAACTTTGCCAGTTCCCACCTCAACAAACCCCATTAACATTACATTGGCAAACTCATTAGTGAATTACTACTCGTATTTCTCTCTATATGGTGAATTGCTGCATGATACCTGGATGTTCAGTCAGGCGAAACTAGGATGGCTCACATCACAAACGTCCGTCTACTCGGATTCAGAGCTTTCAATCAAGAGAAATAGTCATCATTGAAATTCTCTGCAGCAGACGGACTGTGTTCGTAGTTCACAGTTAGAGCACAGGCACCTTGACAGGCAGCCGTCTCCTGTTCCTCCTTCAGCCTCAGCTGCTCTTTACTATATTGCAGCTCGTAAAGACCGACACAAACTTCGGATTCAAATAGCAGAATTTCAAAATCCTCTTCCATGGGTTTAGTTTTCCATCACCATCATACTTATCTCCACAGCACGGTCCAAACAAGATGGCTGATATTGACTTAAGTATCTGCAAGTGAAGTCACACCCACTAATCTATAATAGGCCTGTAGCGGGAATGGGTCCAACCCCCTGGAATGAAGAGATAATATTTGTAGTTTCTAGACTTTAATGAAATGTGACTTCCTGCTTATGACAACAAAATGATGATTTTTTTACATCATAAGCAGGAGGTAAAAAAAAAAGGGGGAAAACAAGGGAATAAACCATGACGAAGCAAAAATATGACTGGGTTTCTAAATGTGGCGGAGGGATATATGCCACCGCCTTGTGGGGGAAATATTTAACACTATGCTAAGGAAGACTGAGTGAGCAACAGGATCCTAGTCCCCTCACCCAATGCTTTTAGTCTTAGTACAACTGATAACCCTGTTGTGTGTGGTGTCTATCCTGCTGCAATGTGTAATGCTCAAGAGTCGGCAAGGTGAGCTTCAGGATTTACTCAATACACGGCAGCCACCTGAAATATGTATATGTAGAAAACTCAGGAGTTAAACCTAGTTGACTGCAAGACCCGCCATCCCCAGATCTAACAGGATAGGTAAGACGCCCCCACTCCTTAAATGACTCAAAATGAGCATTTAAACAGTTTTAGTTTAATAAACAAAAATAAATGTTTGTTTGTTGCACAAACTAAAATGATTCTGTTTGCTTTGTTTTCACAGGAAATGTAAAACAATTTCAAATGCAGATCAATAAAAGTGAAATAAAAATGTGGAAAATAATAAAAACAGAAAAATCAACAAATGTTTCAGCTTCTGAACAATCAGTTTCACTTTCTGTAAATAGACTGAAACGTTTCACAGTTCACTCAACCTTTCAAATGAAGTTCACTTGATTCACTTAGAGTTCACTTCAATTAGGCTCAAAAATCCAAGATCCGATTAAAAAAATCCAGGAAAGGAAAGGGTTATATTCAGTCCATTTATGAGTCCAGGGCAAAAAAATTCAGTTTGTGTGAACAAAACAAAGTCTATGAATCCCTTTGCAGGAAAATTCACTGATTACAGTGCCAGCAAAAACAACTGCACGATTGAACGATTCAGTTCTGATGACTCACTGACAGAATTATAGTTTGCTTACCAGTGTTCAGAAGGAAAAGAAGAAAATAATGTACATCACCACTCTTGGTTAGTGAATGAGGTGCTGAATGATGACCAATGGATGGCAGGGTACAGTTTCTTCACTCATTGACCCTCAGCGATTGTCCTCGCGATCCTGACGACGGCAGCTTGATTCAACGAGGCCACAATCCCAGCTGATGGAGATGCAATGAGAAGACGAACACACACGACCCTAACCGACGACTCAGCAAACGTTTTTCTTCACACAATCAGCAGCATTCACTGTTTCAAGTTCGTTTGAACAAATGAAACAAAAACTGTTTTAAACAAAGAAAACACGAAAGTAATTGCCTCATACGCGACTGAAACTCACTGAAACTAAACGGATCTTTTTCTCAGCTTCACGCACGAACACGGCAGAAAACTCGTTAACACTCAACTTAAACAACCTAGTTCACATAAACGAACACTCAGACGCAACGTCATGCAACTCCTATGTCTGTCATGGGTCTAAACTCGACTTTTTATCGTGACTGATTACCCGAAGTCGACTTTCATCTTCAGCTTCCCGCTGCTCTTCTTCGCTCAACTCACTCCTCGTGCGACTTGTCATAACCCCAAAATGGCGGCGCCCGTAGCAAACGTCAAAATAAAAGTCTTCACAATTTTAATCACAAATTTCTAGATCCCCTACATAAAGACAAAGGTTAATGAAAATAGGTTAAGTGTCCTTTGAAAAAAAAATCATTTTAAATTCCCTATGGAGAAAGTTATTCACTTCTGGAACCCTTTGGTTGCATGCTATATGCTGAATCAATTTCACCACATTGGCAGAATGAGAAACTTTTTCAAAGTCAAAAGTAGTTAAACCAGACATGCAGCAAAATGACAAGTCAGACACAAGCAAGGATTGATTTGTCAGTTTATTGAGAACTCTTTTGCCCTTGAACCATTACAGGACCAAGTGAGGCCTTTCCTTCCCATTGAATGCCTTGGGAGAAGAAAAAAAGCCAAGTTAAAGAACTTGAATTAAGAGTAGCCTTAGAAAGAGCAAACTCTACCAACCTCCATAGGGAGAAGCAGCAAATTCATCAGGACCACATGTTGAGTCACAGCAACCACAAACTTGGTCGTTTCCATCAGCAGCAAACCATCTGCAACAATATAAAGACATGGAGCCTTCAACATGAGAAAAGTCATCTTAAGCCCCAAAATAAAAGATAAATCTTACCCATTGGCAAAAGAACAGGATTTGCTCTGAGCATCACTGGGTGCAGAAGCAATAGTTGCCTTCAGAATACATGTTATGTAGATCTGGAAGAGATGACAGACAAGTCACAAAACCAAAGCAAGTGGGAGGAGAAGTCAAGTTAACTCATATTTATAGTACATACAGAAGGACTGTTGCCCTCCTGGAACATGAACGCCTCCAGCTGGAACTGGATCTTGTCAGCTTGGGACCGAGGCATGAAGCGGGAGCTGGAAGCTGTAGTTTTGGCATCCACAAAGCACCTGACGACAAAACCATCACAAAGACCAGGTCATGAACGTCAACTGTAGAACTGAGTTACAAAAGGCAATGTAAACAGTCCTACCACATCAAGAACCATGACCTTACCCATGATTCTCAATGAAGGAATATCTCGGAAGAGAGTTCACATCAGGTACTTGAGTGGCCACACAGCGGTCCACAAACACACGCAGAGGCACATGATTGTACTGCTTTACAGATGCTTCAATGTTAATAACACCACCCAGGAAATAGGAGTATGAAGGCCTCTCATATATCCAATCATCTACACAAAAAAAAAAAAAAAATTCAGGCACAGCCAACAAAGCAAGAATAAAAGTTAAATTGTATTGAAAGAAAACCTTTACCAACCCATCATGATCTTCAGGGAGAACACCAAGACTTCTTCACCAGCCTCTGTTGAGGCATAAGGGACCCATGTTGGCCTCAAGGCATCACTGCTTACATTTTGGAGCCTGCAGTTCATTAAAGGACACATTAAATTGTCTCCCAGTTGCATGAGAAAGTGCAGAATGTCACAGAGATCTCCTACCTTTGATAATGGCATTGAACACCAACAATTGCACCTTCGGCCCGGGTAATCGGAGTACCTGCAAGCGCCTCAGGGGTGTAGGTAAGAGAGAAGGTGTAGACAAGCTCATCCTCATTCATCTGTAAAAAGATTGTGGTTACCAAAAGGGTCATCCCAGAGATTTAATACACGTAAAGACTACGCACTAATATTTCTATGAATAAGAGAAGGGGCACTGTGCAATACAGTGGAATTCCTAAAGAAAAAAAAATAAATAAATTCATCACCAGAGCTGCCTTCAAAAGTTCCTGTGTTGCCAGAGATTGTCAAATGTTTGGAGACATGCACTTTGGATTGAACATGCACACTTTGCTTTTACTGGGTAAAAAAGTTAGAAACTAGCTTTAACACCATTACGTGTCCAAGATTCATTGTTCTTATTTCGAAGCGCCCTACATACCTTTTGTGGGATAGTTTACAGCAGATGTAGGTTTGAAGGGTTATTTAAAGGCTAGTAGCTTGAACATTAAGGATTGCCCCATTCAACTATATAGAACTTAGTCTTAGCTGGCATTGTAAAACCAAGTAAACTGATATTCCTTGAAGGTCCTCTACCACAACAAATAACCCATTAAGATTGATACATTCTTACCATCAGCACACTGTTGCAGTCCTGTAATTCATACTCAAAGATGAGCACTCTTGACCCGGGATCCTGACCAACAACAGGACATCCACCTAAAGACAGACCAGTTGGCTGGATCAACTGACCATTGCTGAAGAAGTCCTGCTGGACCTCTACGAGAACCTGGTTCTCTCCACATTGAACCGCTACGCTGTTGGGAGTCACAGGTTGCCTCAACTGGAAGTCCACCGCCATCTCGCTCTGCACCTCTGGAACGATGGGATACCTCCAACCCAAAGGCTTCACTGGACCCTGCAACAGCAGCTTCTCCTGAAGGCCAAAAGGATCCTGTGCAAGGCTTTTGGAGTCGGGACCCAGAGGACTCTGAAACTGAGAAGCCACTTGCAAAGGGTTCCAGAGCCCTAGAGGAGAAAGGGCAGGACTTCTGGAAGCTGGATCTGATTTTGGCCCCATGCTTCTTGGACTATGACTGTTCCTCAAACTTCCCAAGACATCAGGCAGATCAAACACAACAATCGCTACCACTAAGACAACTTTCAGGAACCCCATCCTAACAATCTTTAACACAAACACCTCAACACACACCAGCTCTTGGCTTTCCCATTTTGTACAGCTTTGAGTTAAGGTGGCCCCACCCCTTTTACCTTAATTGATCATTCTTGATTCTCCTCTGGACCTGTAGAGTGTATGTATCTTGGGGAAGCACCAGTCTGCACATTTTTTATGCGCCTGTCCAAATACCAACAGTTGCCGTCTTTGTACTTGACCACTTGTCCGCTTACATGACCTACAGTATTTCCGGTCTTTGATTCCCAGCATCTCCAAGCCATGTTGGACTTTTATATCTGGCATAAAGAAAATATTTAAACAAGAAAAAAACAACAGCTAAATCAGGGGATGTCGCTCAGTGGTAGAGCGCATGCTTTCCATGTTTGAGTTCCTGGGTTCAATCCCAGCATCTCCAAGCAATGTAGAACTTTCCATTACTTTCTTTGCTTGTTTCATAAACCTCAGAATCCCATATATATGCCTGCCAGTGAACACACTTATCACCATGAGGGGATGTAGCTCAGTGGTAGAGCGCATGCTTTGCATGTATGAGCTCCCTGGTTCAATCCCCAGCATCTCCAAGCAATGTTGGTCTTTTAAGTCAAAAGCATATCTCACATATACATTGAGCATAAAGAAAATAATATTTAAACCAGAAAAAAAACTATAGCTAAATCAGGGCTCAGTGGAAGACTGTATGCTTTGCACGGATGAGCTCCTGGGTTCAATCCCCAAACAATGTTGGTCTTTTAAGTCAACAGCAGAACAGAATACACTTATCACCATGAGAAGAGGTGTCTCAGTGGTAGAGCTCATGCTTTGCATGTATGACGTCCTGGGTTGAAACTCCAAGCAATGCTAGTCAAATGCATATATCACATATACATCTTGCATGAAAATAATACTGAAACAAATGAAAAACACCAGCTGATGTAGCTCAGTGGTAAAGCATATGCTTTGCACGTATGAGTTCCTGGGTTCAATCCCCAGCATCTCCAAGCAATTTGGAACTTACCATTACTTTGTTTGCTTGGTTTACCTTGGAACTGCATATGTATGCATTTCAGTGTTGACCTATATCACCTATATTGTTATTATTTAAAAGGCACAAGTACATAGCCAAACACTTATCACCATAAGTGGATGTAGCTTAGTTAATGTAAAAGACAAACTCAGTTACGTTACCCACAATATTTCATGGGATAAGGTTTTCCCTGCAGAGCTCTTTTGGAATGATTTTTTCCGAAGATTAATAACACCATTCATTGAATGAGAAATTTAACCAAGGTCTTGACTCAGTGGTTAAAAATCCCATGGCATTTCTCATACAGATTAGGGGTGTAACCCCAGTGTCCCAGATATATTCTCTCCATTGGCTTTTGCCAATCATGGCCTCCTAATAATCCCCATATATTGAAAATTCAGTCCACCATTCTCACCACCCATAGCTGGTGCTGTAGTACTGTGGCTGCCATTGCGTCCAAGTGGATGCTGCACACTGGTGGTTGAGGAGAGATCCTCTGATATTATTGTGAAGTGCTTTGAGTGTAAAGTGGTATAAATGGCCCTTCATTTAATTTCCTCAGTGGTAATGATTTTCACCAGGAAGTCTTCTATTAAACAGATTGTAACATGGCCTTTCACTAGCAGTCTTTAAAGCTGCAGTCCGCAGTTTTTCCTCTTTGCCACCATCTCTGTTCAAAATCTGTAATTGGAGTTTTTCGCGGAATTATTTACTTTTACGTCACATATCCCCACCACTTTTTGCCAGGGTCGAAATTGTACCCACCACTTTCAAAAACATCTTGCGGCACGAATGTACCAATACAAATAAAACATCTCCAGTTAGCTAGCAGCATTCGTTTCATTCGTTTGTTAAATAAGAGCCGATCTAGCGCTGAAATGTGTTTTCTTCACTCGGATGCGCGCTGCAATCCGTTGTGGAGGTTTCATTTGTGGGTTCTAATCCGCACTCGTACAGGTTTTTTACCCTCATCAAAACCGAGAACGTTTTTCAGTGGTTGTATATCAATATACATACGGTTTTGATGAGGGGAAAAAAAACTATATGAGTGCGGATTAGAACCCACAACCTCCGACACGCAAAAATTGCCACTGGACCATTACTGAACATGCACAGTGTAGGTGAATCTGTGTGTTTATTCACGTTAAAATACACCATACTAATATTAGATCTCATATACGACCAATTAAACCCAAAGTACCATAACATTTTGGGTCAGACATCACATCTTTGTATACATTTTATTTATTTACATCAGTAAGCTACAGGAAATCGTCTTTGAAAACATGACCTTCGCGAAAGAGAAAAAAGAATGAATGAGTCGTTGTACCCAGCACTTTTTAAAATGCCCTTCCGAATGCGTCTCTGTCCCCAGCACATTTCACTGGTGATTGTTGTTTGAACCTTTCTGGATCCGCCATAAGTTTAATCATTTAAAGTGCTGTGAGAAAAGGCTATACATTCCCACCTCCAGCATCCTCACACTCAATATAGCCTACTAGCCGGGACTCCTTCTTTATGTGTACAGATGTGGCGTAATGACGCAAAGACATGCTCGAATTTCCTGTGGACATCCACCAGTGCCACTGGAATTAAAATCATTATTACAAGCTAACCGTTTTGAATCGAGCAAAGGCAAGCAGACATTTTTGAACACTGGCTGGTTATGTTTTTTTAAAATGTTATTATTTTGGATCATTTTTAACCCAAAAAAGTTACAGACTGTAGCTTTAAAGGAGCATTTCACCCATTTCAACATTAATCTTTATCAAAAGGGGATCATGTAGGATATGTAGTCGAAATATAAAAGAATTTTTTAATTTGGTGCCCTCTTGACCGAGAAAAGACAGAAAATAACCGAAGGGCGCATATATAAGTAAGACAACTCCCACAATACACCACATTGCACAGCTAAGCAAGCCACACCCACTAATCCGGAACAGCGAAAAATCACTCTCAAGGGGCATAAGAGGACGGCGCGAGGCCGGTGGCGGGAGTGATAATGAACGACACCAGAGAGATGCACCAGTCTCGCATCTCTTACGGAGGAGAAAAAGCATAAAATGAGGAGTGACAATGACAGATTGAAAGAGGATCAGGCCTGCTTTTATGTTCTATTTTGTTTCTGTTGTGTGTAGACAGCAGGCGTCAATGAGGGGCTGCTGGCTTATACTTTACTATAAAAAACTTTGCCAGTTCCCACCTCAACAAACCCCATTAACATTACACTGGCAAACTTATTAGTGAATTACTACTCGTATTTCTCTCTATATGGTGAATTGCTGCATGATACCTGGATGTTCAGTCAGGCGAAACTAGGATGACTCACATCACAAACGTCCGTCTACTCGGATTCAGAGCTTTCAATCAAGAGAAATAGTCATCATTGAAATTCTCTGCAGCAGACGGACTGTGTTCGTAGTTCACAGTTAGAGCACAGGCACCTTGACAGGCAGCCGTCTCCTGTTCCTCCTTCAGCCTCAGCTGCTCTTTACTATATTGCAGCTCGTAAAGACCGACACAAACTTCGGATTCAAGTAGCAGAATTTCCAAATCCTCTTCCATGGGTTTAGTTTTCCATCACCATCATACTTATCTCCACAGCACGGTCCAAACAAGATGGCTGATATTGACTTAAGTATCTGCAAGTGAAGTCACACCCACTAATCTATAATAGGCCTGTAGCGGGAATGGGTCCAACCCCCTGGAATGAAGAGATAATATTTGTAGTTTCTAGACTTTAATGAAATGTGACTTCCTGCTTATGACGACAAAATGATGATTTTTTACATCATAAGCAGGAGGTAAAAAAAAAAAAAACTAAAAACCGTATTTCTCCCATCTCAGGGGAGAACAAGGGAATAAACCATGACAAATCAAAAAAAAATGACTGGGTTTCTAAAGACAAAGGTTAATGCAAATGGGTGAAGTGTCCTTTTAAAAAAAAAACCATTTTAAATTCCCTATGGAGAAAGTTATTCACTTCTGGAACCCTTTGGTTGCATGCTATATGCTGAATCAAGTTCACCACATTGGCAGAATGAGAAACTTTCAAAGTCAAAAGTAGTTAAACCAGACATGCAGCAAAATGCCAAGTCAGACACAAGCAAGGATTGATTTGTCAGTTTTATTGAGAACTCTTTTGCCCTTGAACCATTACAGGACCAAGTGAGGCCTTTCCTTCCCATTGAATGCCTAGAGAGAAGAAAAGCAAGTTGAGAGCTTGAATTAAGAGCAGCCTTAGAAAGAGCAAACTCTACCAACCTCCATAAGGAGAAGCAGCAAATTCATCATCAGGACCACATGTTGAGTCACAGCAACCACAAACTTGGTCGTTTCCATCAGCAGCAAACCATCTGCAACAATATAAAGACATGGAGCCTTCAACATGAGAAAAGTCATCTTAAGCCCCAAAATAAAAGATAAATCTTACCCATTGGCAAAAGAACAGGATTTGCGCTGAGCATCACTGGGTGCAGATGCAATAGTTGCCTTCAGAATACATGTTATGTAGATCTGCAAGGGATGACAGACAAGTCACAAAACCAAAGCAGATGGGAGGAGAAGTCAAGTTAACTCATATTTATAGTACATACAGAAGGACTGTTGCCCTCCTGGAACATGAACGCCTCCAGCTGGAACTGGATCTTGTCAGCTTGGGACCGAGGCATGAAGCGGGAGCTGGAAGCTGTGGTTTTGGCATCCACAAAGCACCTGACGACAAAACCATCACAAAGACCAGGTCATAAATGTCAACTGTAGAACTGTAGAGTTACAAAAGGCAATGTAAACAGTCCTACCACATCAAGGGCCATGACCTTACCCATGATTCTCAATGAAGGAATATATCTCGGAAGGGAGTTCACATCAGGAACTTGATTGGCCACACAGCGGTCCACAAACACACGCAGAGGCACATGATTGTACTGCTTTACAGATGCCTCAATGTTAATAACACCACCCAGGAAATAGGAGTATGAAGGCCTCTCATATATCCAATCATCTACACAAAAAAAATAAATAAATTCAGACACAACCAACAAAGCAAGAATAAAAGTTAAATTGTATTGAAAGAAAACCTGTACCAACCCATCATGAGCTTCAGGGAGAAGACCAAGACTTCTTCACCAGCCTCTGTTGAGGCATAAGGGACCCATGTTGGCCTCAAGGCATCACTGCTTACA